TCTTGACGCACAGAAAATTGAATAATGTTTTATTGACTCTTATATGTCTTTTTCACTCGTATCTTTACTTACTGATAAGAAAAGAGTCCTTTACTAATTTATATTTATTTTTATAAAACAATTAATTGCTTTCCTCTATATATGAAGGACAGTACTTTTTTATATTAATTTCTGAATTGGGATGGATCGCAGTGTACGAGTCGTATAACAAAGCGCACAACGATATGCATTTTTATTGTCACGTCTTTTCAATGATATTATTATCGGGACGTTCTCCGACGCGAAAGGTGCGCGCAAACGCGCAGCTGGTAAAACGCGCGGTAATAAACGACCGCGATGATTTTGCTTCGTGTCACCGTACCGAATTTAAAGTAGGCAACGCGCGACTTTGCCAATCTGAATAAAGGGAGCAATGCGCTCGATATGGCGAAGCGTGGGTTAGATCGTCCTCCATCCCTTCAGGCTCGTAAATAAATGAAACCTACGAGAAGATACCGCGTGGCGGAGTGGCGCGTGCATAAATAGGCGGTTTGTACAAAAAGTGCGTGCATTCCCTACTCTCGAACGTGAATCATCGTAAAAGTGTGTTCGCCTGTTCAATATATTATACTTACGCGGAGCATCTCCTCCTGTAGACGAAAGCTTCGTTTCCTTTTGTCTGACACACGCTGCATAATTTTCCTTTTTCATATAGCAAATTTTATCGGGTAAGTCCACCATCGAACATTCTAATAATTTATTTGCATGCCGAACAGAAAATTCCTTGTATCAGTCAACTGGAACGCAATTTAATATAATACATTTCAAGAATTTCCTACAAACACCAAATAAATCCTTTTTTTTTAATTTGGATTATCAAATCGTTCTGTACCAAGAAAAAAGTGCTATATTTATATAATGAATAATTTGAAGTTGAGAAGTTTTTTCTGAAAATTTTTGGAATTGTTTGATTTTTGTGAAAAATCTTTCATTTATATTTATAATATATTAAAAAACGGATATATTTCTGGATGTGTTTATTTCTACATGTGCGTGATGTTTTTTTTTTATTAATTTTAATTATTGTATATTAAAAGTAATAATAATAAAAATAAGCAAGCCTATCAAAGCCAACATCAGTTGTTCGGATGCACAATTTATTTTCGTGTTAATTTAACAAATCATTTTGACATAATGTATTGGACTCCGTTCTCATTTTATCTAACTTGGAAATTGGATAAAGAAGAACGAGCTGTATCGTCACGTATCGCAATGCTGGAATTTGCATATAGTATGTAAGCGGATTTAGGTTTATACTGATAAGGACCCAAATATAGGGGTCGAAACGTATATTAATTAATTTTTGATATGATTTGTTAAATTAACACGAAAATAAATTGTGCATCCGAACAACTGATGTTGGCTTTGATGGGCTTGCTTATTTTTATTGATAGATTCCTCCAAGCCTTATTTTTAAATATTTGTTAAAAGTAATAATTAATGCGACATAATCTAAGGAAATGTGTTAAATAGAAAAATAAGAAATAACGAAACAGAGAACGAAACATATAAAGAAAGAAGAGGGTGAGTACAGATAAAAATTGAAAGGTTTAGAGAAAATGTAGGAATAACGTAATATAAATGTGCAGAATCGCGGGTCTTTTGGAGGATTCAAGAAGGTCTGGGACGACACACGGACGACATAGTACATCGATGATTAACGATCTCCTTCAATTCGGCATGAGGAACGCCGCGGTATTTTTCACCCCGTCGACGTTCGAACATTCTAAATTCCCATCGCGGATCGACTTCATGGCGTTTACGTAGATTAACGCGGAAGTCTCCATCACCACAAATCATTATTAGCATATTATCGGCGACACTTATCAGGGCGTCGTGCGAAGTTCCACCCTCTCAAATAAGACTCCGCTCATAAATCAGAAAGTGTCTTTCCTCGACTCGGTGATATTTCATTCGTTAACAGGTATATAATTACGTCCGCTGCGCCAAGTCCATCCCGATCAAACATTTTTCCACTCGGCACGAAAATATACGCGTACGAATGAGGCGAGAAGAAGAGAGAGAGAGAGAGAGAGAGATGTCCTCGCATGCGATAAACAGTCAGCCTATAAACCGGCTTGTTTATCGACGATCAATGGTACATCTTCATGATAAATATTTGCCTAACGCTCGCGCGGCGGATTACCGTTACCTCGCGTAATTACGAGCCGTGTATTTCACGAAGCGAGTTAACGATTATACGCGGATACGTCAGCCTATCGATGCCCATTACCAATCCGAAATAAAGTTCAAGTTTATTATCTTCTATCTACGTTCGGATTGTGATAAAGTGTTCGAATAAAATGTCGCTTTTACAGTATTTTATGAGCTTTTTCGAAGCGACGATACATATTCCATCGACAGAGCGACAAAAACAGGACCGTATATAAAACAGTGATGCGAAGGGGATCGATCGATCGTCCACCCTCTCTCCTCTCTTCTCCTCACCTCTCTCCTCTCTCTCTCTCTCTCTCTCTCTCTCTCTCTCTCCCCCCCCCCGTCTCCGGAATAATTAAAAACGTGACGCTTGATCCGACGCATCTCTCGATCTGCAAACTCGCTTATGAAAAAAAAAAAAAAAAAAAAACTTAATCGATATTTATCATTAATTGCGGCGACGAATCCACGCGGATTTATTGCGCGCTTTGTGAATATATTTCATCGGTCGGCCGTCATATATTCTGAAGGAAACTTTTCCACTTTTTTTCAGTTATCCAGCTCAATATCAGCGCAGGCATAAAATGTATCATCACCGCTCGAAACGGAAGGAACGCTACCGCCATCACGCATCCGAAAATTAATCGGCGTGGGCGCAGCCGATAACGAATGGTGTTCCCGCCAAACGGCCAGTATATTTTACTTTGCTCTCCAGTGTCTGTTATTTTGTGCGCATTCTGGCTGTCCGCTTGGCACGATTTACTCGCCGGTCTCGATCAGGAATTTTCGAGTCGCACGCGCGCGCAACCGGACAAATACTCGCGGATCCATTAAAAAATTGCTGTCGTTCGTGTTTGTTTCGATCGGTTCTCTCCCGATTAAAGGCCTCAATCGCGAATTATCTATTATCGATCCACAGTGTAATTAATTACTGAGTTTGTTTACAGCAAAATTGAACTGTTAGTAGTAAAGTTGAAAAGACAATTTTATACTTTATACACATTTACTTATAAAAATCTTTTTTTTTGTACAGTAGAAGTCGCAAAGAATTTTAGAGACATTAAAAATTCGAAAAAAATTTTTTTTTATTTTCCATTAATTTAAATTCATAAAAATGGAGCTGATGTAAACTAACAGTTATAATTAAGTAAATCATTAAAAATTATAAGATTTACGTTCCAAGACTTTCCTTTATATCTACTTTAAACTTTATTTAAAATAATATTTTTTAAAACGGTGGCCGCAATAATGCAAATACAATTTATGTAATAAATTTAAAGTTTTAAATAAAATGATTTTAATAACATTTCACATTGATTCCCGGATTTCTTTCTACTTTTAATTTTTTTCTTAATTGATAAAGTTTTAAAGGATTAATAGATATCTAATATTTAGTAATAATAATAATAAATATGCTGCATATTCCATGTAACCCCAATGCGTTATCTTGACATTTTTGTTAAAATAATTTCTAGTGTGTCTTGCACCTGATGCTTTCTTCCTGATGCACCGTTGTTCATCCGGTTGCAACTTCAGGCGCATCGGTAAGCTGCATACATTTAACCATTTCATGCTAGTGGAACAATATGCGTATGTATTTCAATATATTTAAAAAATTATATCTGTAATAAACATCGAGTTATTAAGATCAATAAAAACAATTGAAGTGGATTCTATCAAATTCTATATTTCTTAAATTAGAATGTTAAGTATAAATATCAATCCTTATTTATCATTCTTGATTACACTGTCCAACAAAGTCTTTTTTGCAACATAAATGTAAAGCATTTTCGATATATTTATGCCTGCTGAAAACGAATTCGTTGATCAAAGTCTATTAATACAATATCAATCAAAATTTAATCTATTAATACAATTTTAAGAAAAATGGTATTAAATATGACGATTTTTTTTGAAGATTTTTATGACGTTGCATTGTCAGTAAATTTTTTTTCTAAATTTCATTAATGTCACTTAAAAGTATCACCATTTAGATTTAAAATGCATTTTATTTCGTTTCGGTATAATTTTTCATTTTTAAAATGTAGCAATTTGAAAATAGCTTTTTTAAAGGCATTTTTCCATCTTAATACTACATTACAATGTGGAAGGTAAGTGCTATATAGTACTTAAATAGCATAATTGGATCATAAATAAAAAAGAAATAAATATAATATAGCAAGAAGATTATAATATCTTCAATGATTCAAGATTGTAATCTTTTTTGTCATATTTTATTTGGTCAATTTCACATATTGCATTTTTTCATTTAATACGATCTGATTATACATATTATATAAGTATTTATTTGTCATATAATGTAATATTGATGGAACAAAATACTCTTTCCATGTAATTGTTATTCCGAAAATAAAAAAATCATCCTCATACAGAAATTAAACAAAATGCTGAAAACTGATAATACTTTCGAGCGATAATAAAATATAAGAAAAATTTGTTATCGACGTTACAATGTCATAAAAGTTTTTAAATTCGTCGTTTTCTTCTTCTTTTTTTTGCATAATTTTTTTCGTAATTGTGACAAAAATTTAACCAACTTTTTTCTTCTTTCGTTAGAAATCATCGTAACTCTTTCCGAAAACGACATCGTCTTTGCTCTGCAACTATGAACTAAACCGAAGCGGCACGCCACAAAGAGCGGTTCAATGCCTCAGCCGGCCACGAATCACGATGAGAGGAAAGGAGAAAAAGAGAAAGAGAAAAAGGGAAAGAGAGAGAAATCCATCTGTCGCTCCAGCAACAATTCAGCATCGGCCGTCGGTGCAGACGGCAGGTGGCGTTCGTGTATCCGATGCGCGTCGTTTTCCGCCATCTTTGGACAGTGAAATCGTTGTTGAGACTTCGTGAGGAGTGTCGAGTTGACTTGTAGAGTGTAACGATAGTGCGTGAACGTGGTATCAAACAACAACGACGACGACGACGACGACGTGGAGAAGGCTGTCGCTCGCCAGTCGCGAGAATAGCGAGCCGTCCGGGATCGGTGTCGCGTGCTTGAACGGGATTCGCGGATAATCGGGGGACGCGGAGTCGAGCGTCGAGCACGCAGCACGGTAAGTGTCGACTATCGGCCCGCGCGGTGCGCCATTGCGGCCGAGTTCTCTCGCTCTCGTCGCCGCGTCGCGAGACTCGCGAGTCGCGAGTCGCGAGTGTGTGTTTACATTGGGTGTGTCAAAGTGCCTGTTGTCCACGCCGGAGTTGAATAAATCCGCCGTGACTTTCGGTCGGAGGCTCCGACGTGCGTTATATTCCTACACAAGGCGTCTCAGAATTTATCAGAATTTATGGCACGTTAATACTTTTCCGAAGACAGAGAAGGAGAGCGAGAGAGAGAGAGAGAGAGAGAGGGAGAGAGAGAGAGAGAGAAAGAGAGAGAGAAAGAGTGAGGCTGCTGCAACATGCATGCGTTAATTTACGACAGTTTTCAAGCCTTCGGGTGCTATTTCATTCGTGCGTTTTGGTCGTACGACAAATGTGCGCAGGACGGAGAGAGAATCTGTCTATCCTATAGCCATTTAAAAGGCTTGAAAAATTCATCGTACAACGAATACGCACAAATGAAATAACGGCCCTTTCCGACACTCGAAGAGCTACCTGCACAAGAGCAAAGATTGTGAAAAGCCTTCGCTATTTGATTCTTTCGAGATTTCTCCCGTTATTTTGAACCATAAATCTCAACGTCTCTCTTGTTCCAGCCTCAAAGGCGCGCGTCAAAGAGAATTCTCCGCTCGAGCTGGGTTCCAAGTCGATCGCTCGACACGAACATGCGCGTCGGTGTCTCATACACCACAACGTGAATTCTTTTCGTCGTTCGACAAAACCTTTAATCTCGATACTGCGCGTTCTCCCGATCATTTTTATCCACCGTCTCTTCTCTCATCCTTGTCGCTCTTCTGGTCGGCTGACAACGCCACGTATGTACTGTACGTACCGTACATAGTTACATACACGTACACACATGCCAATTGCCTTTCCCTTTGCCACCCCCGCGCTCTTCACCTCCCCCCTCCCGCGAGACCTCGTCGATTGTCAGAAAATGATGACACATCGCATTCCCGCAGTTCTCTCGTTATGTCACGCGGCCAGCGCTCCTCCGTCCCACCCGAAATTCCGCGGGGGACCCCGCTATAATTCCCGCACGGTCGCATCCCGCGGCTACACCCGACGGGTGCAACGGCACGACGCATATTCGATCGCGGCCGGCCGTGCGAACACCCACAAGGCCTGAAGCTGTGCGACGCACAGAGCGAGACAGAGAAGGAGGGGAGAATAGAGGGAAAGATAAAGAGCGACCGAGAGAGGAGAGGGGAGAGGACCCTTCGATCGCGCCCACATTCCGTGCGGGAGCATCTTTCCCTGTCGCAGCAGGATGCACTGACCCGCCGTACCGTCCTATTGTCACGCAAGTGAACATCTCAACGAACGTATGTCGTTTTCTCTCGTTCATTCTCTTCTCGAAGCACTTGGTGGGATCTGCAATCCCTCACCAAGCCGGTAAACCACTCGGTCTCGGAACATTTCAGTCTCGAGTCAGACGACAGGAATGTCGTTTCGCGTTTGCTTTTTTTTCACATTGTTGATGTCACCTCCTTTTTGCATAATTGGAATAGCGCGAGCAGAGAGTAGCCGCGTGACGAGGACCTGTACTGTAGGACGGTGTATTCGTAGCAACTGTAGATTTTGACGGAGTCTTGCTTTTGTTTCTTTCAGGTACGGAGTTAAGCTCTTGCCGGAATCATGAGTTACCCAATGTCGACGAATCAATCTAGACCGAGTGAGTCACGTTCATATGATACAATTTGTCGCAATCGGGTCGTGCATGGGACTTACGTTTGTTTGAATTACAGTGTCTCAAGGAAATTATCAGGGCCCAGGCGACTTGCCTATGGGCTCTGCCAAGGAACAGACACTCATGTGGCAGCAGAATTCCTACATGAATGACTCAGGTATCCATTCCGGCGCTGTCACTCAGGCACCATCTCTGTCTGGCAAGGAAGATGAAGAGATGGAAGGGGATCAGCTGATGTTCGATCTGGATCAAGGATTTGCACAGGGTTTTACACAAGATCAAGTTGATGGTGAGACTATTACTACTTTCATAAATTCGATGTTATCATTGCAAAGTTGGATATTGTGTATTATTATAGAGAATGGTATTGACATCTTTTAGAAATGAATCAGCAACTGAGTCACACTCGATCACAGCGTGTGCGTGCTGCTATGTTTCCCGAAACATTGGAGGAAGGTGTAGAGATACCTTCCACGCAATTTGACCCCGCACAGCCCACCGCTGTGCAGAGATTGGCCGAACCGAGTCAAATGCTGAAACATGCTGTTGTCAATTTGATAAATTATCAGGACGATGCTGATCTTGCTACGCGCGCTATTCCAGAATTGATCAAATTATTGAACGATGAGGATCAGGTGGTTGTTTCTCAAGCGGCCATGATGGTACACCAACTGTCTAAGAAAGAAGCCTCCCGTCATGCTATTATGAATAGCATGCAGATGGTAGCCGCCTTAGTGCGAGCTATCTCTAACAGCGAAGATTTAGAATCGACGAAGGCTGCAGTCGGCACCTTGCACAATTTATCGCATCATCGACAAGGGTTGCTAGCTATTTTCAAGAGTGGCGGAATCCCTGCGCTTGTAAAACTACTGAGTTCCCCAGTAGAGTCCGTTCTCTTTTACGCAATAACGACGCTGCACAACTTATTGCTTCACCAAGACGGCTCTAAGATGGCCGTGCGCCTTGCCGGTGGTTTGCAAAAAATGGTCGCTTTACTTCAACGAAATAACGTTAAATTTCTAGCCATTGTTACCGATTGTCTGCAGATTCTGGCATATGGAAATCAGGAGAGCAAGCTGATTATTCTTGCTTCGCAAGGCCCGATAGAGCTTGTGCGCATCATGCGCTCTTACGAGTATGAGAAATTGTTGTGGACCACTTCGAGAGTATTGAAAGGTAATTTGACCCTAATTTGTGGATAAAAACATGGCAAATGATCCTGCAAAATTCTTCTGGTATCTTTGAAGATAATACCTGTGAAAGCCTAAAAAACGTTATAATGAAATTTTGCATTTATTAATAGATAATTTATTTTGTTTGCAGTATTATCTGTTTGTCCTAGTAATAAACCCGCGATTGTGGAGGCTGGTGGTATGCAGGCACTCGCCATGCATCTTGCAAATCCGAGTCAAAGATTAGTGCAGAATTGCTTGTGGACTCTGCGCAATCTGTCAGACGCTGGCACAAAAGTTGACGGACTCGACAATTTACTACAGAGTCTTGTACTTGTGCTGGGTTCAGCAGATGTCAATGTGGTCACTTGCGCTGCTGGCATACTGTCAAATCTTACTTGTAATAATCAGCGCAATAAAGTACGTCCAATAAAATTTTTTTACAATGCTCTTATGCTCTTATCTAATTTATAAGAACCTCACATAGTCAATAATACTGTAAGTACTAATAGTATTATTGAGTGTGTTAATATTGGTAGATTAATGTAGAATATTGACGGTGATTCGAATTTCTTCATTCTCGAACATTAATATTTTCTATCACACATCAAAATCCTCTACCACAGAACGATATTGATGTTCAAGGATCAAGAAATTCGGATCAATAATATCATGATTTGTTGATGCTAAATATTATTGACCATGTAAGGTTCGTAATGTACATAAAACTGAGCTGAAATATCAATATAATATTGGTCGTGTAAGGTTTACATTATACTTTTTGTTTAGGTTGCAGTATGTAATTTTGGCGGTGTCGACGCTTTGGTTCGTACGATCATCAATGCCGGTGATCGGGAGGAAATAACCGAACCAGCAGTGTGCGCCTTACGTCACTTGACCTCGCGTCACGGCGAAGCGGAAATGGCGCAAAATTCCGTTCGGATAAATTATGGTATTCAAGTTATAGTCAAATTACTTCACCCGCCGTCGCGCTGGCCATTGGTAAAAGCAGTTATTGGGTTAATCCGCAACTTGGCTCTTTGTCCTTCTAATCACATCCCGTTACGCGACCACGGCGCAATACATCATCTTGTAAGACTTTTGATGCGTGCATTCCAGGATACTCAACGAGTGAGTATAAGTCATTATAGAAAATAAAATCATATAATATATATTGCATAATAACAGTTAATACTTTAATTGTATAATTTTCTATTAAGAAAATATTTAGTTATTGTTATTTATATGCGCGCTATTTAAAGACAAAAAAACATTAACATAAAAAATATGACATTATAGTTTTTACATAATAGAACGATGCTATTTTTTATTTGCAGCAACGATCATCTGTTGCTAGTACCGGAAGTCAACAAACATCGGGTGCATATGCAGATGGAGTACGAATGGAAGAAATAGTAGAAGGTTCAGTAGGTGCTCTTCATATTCTTGCAAGAGAGTCCAATAATAGGATGATAATTCGATCGCAGAACGTAATTCCAATTTTCGTACAAGTACGTATTGCTATTTTTACGAAAATGCTTATAATATTTTCTCTGAATTTCTTAAATTGTATCTTAATCTTAAATGATAGTTAAATACAAATTCTCTGCATTTATCTCCCCCATTATAATTGTATATAATTTCTTAATCTGTAACCTTCAAAGTTTTCTTATTAACAGAAGTATCTTTCTTTACGCGATTGAATAATATGATTCTTTTTTCGTTCGCAGCTATTATTCAACGAGATTGAAAATATTCAACGTGTGGCAGCCGGTGTACTTTGTGAACTGGCAGCTGACAAAGAAGGAGCGGAAATAATAGAACAGGAGGGTGCAACCGCCCCACTGACAGAGCTGCTACACTCAAGGAATGAGGGTGTGGCTACTTACGCAGCGGCAGTGCTATTCCGCATGAGCGAAGATAAGCCGCAAGAATACAAAAAACGACTTTCCATGGAGTTGACGAATTCTTTATTCCGTGAGGATACAAATCTGTGGAACAATGCCGACTTCAGCATGGCTCCGGATCTTCAGGTATTGTAAAGAACGGACATAATAGTGCACGTTATTTTATCTCGTGCCGTGGCGAAATAGATTTACTTGCAAACACTATGTAACATAGAAAGTTTTAGTTTTATGTATTAGCTTTGCCTTTTTATAATTGACTTTTTCCAAGTACATGCCAGGAGTCAGGTTTGTAATGTTACATAAATGAATATATTGTAGTATAGAAGTATGTTAAACACTTCTAGGTGGTTACATTGTGTTCGGTAAATTATGCCACGTTATGGTAATAGCTCTTATTTGATTATAGAGACACTTCCCTCTAATTATTAAAAAAAAACAGGTATTTATACGTTAAGGTTTTCCCCGTGTAAGATTAATTCCAAACACAGCTGTTTACAAGCCATGTACAACATCATTTATCCAATTTGCACCACTAAATCATCTGCAGTACTATAAATCATTTGCTTACTATAGCGTTTAGTTTTCACTATCATATTGATGTTCGAAGATCAAGAAATTCGGATCAATAATATCATGATTTGTTGATACTGAATATTATTGACCATGTAAGGTTCGTAATGTACATAAAACGTTAGTTTTTACGTTTTAGACTTTTATTATTATATTTGCGGAGATGGCGGGTACACAATGTAAAAACTAATTTCATAAAATTTTACATTGCTTATGAGCGAGCAGTTTTAAAATGTTTGCTTTTTTCACGCAAAAATGCATTTTAATATATATTCACATTAACTTGTAAATTAAATTTCAAGTTTTACATGCTTAAGCTTTATAACATACAGTTTATTATACCCGAGATTCAATTATATTATTATGACATTTTTATATCAATATTTGTTTAAACGTGAGAGATTAAAGAAATTGACATGATCGTGACATAATGATGACGAGATGCAATTACAATCTTAATCAAATTGATAATTTGCAAGATTACAATATGCATGGGAATGCGTTTTGTTCCTTCTGCAGATGTTTATTTCAAAAATTATCTTTTTATTTTTTGTATTATTTTATCATTCATGTTATTATTCGTGCCAGCCCCCGTTGGTCATTTTTTTTAATTATTGTAAAACTTATCAATTATAGCGCGAAATTTGCCGTATTTTGAGATGTTATGACATGCCCTCCCTTAGAAGTTATGCTTTGTGTTGACCTCAGCTACCTAATCTTCAGGACATGCTTGGCCCTGAACAAGGCTATGATGGTATGTATGGCCAAGGACCTCCTAGCGTACACAGCAGCCATGGCGGTCGGGGTTATCAACCGCAAGGTAATTTATATGTTAGCCATTTTATTCATCGAATGCTGCTTCTGAACAATCGACTTATCCGATCAAGGGTAGACGGAGCTATAAATGGTCATAAAAAACAAATCTTATTTTGTATAAAATGTGTTTTTGTATATAATCGTCATGACAAATTGCATTTGACGTATAATGACGGAATGACTGTATACGCAATAATGCAACCTCACGAACCAATTCTGTCTTGCATTATAAATACGAGGAAATTTAATAAATTTACTACTTTCTTTGTGACATCACTTCTAATATGAAATAATGCATTTAATCGTATGTTATTTTAACAGCAGCTTAACCCATGGACTTAAATTAAAATACAGGCTATCAACAGTTTCTCGCAGTAACATAGGTGACATTTGGTCTTCATGTATTTTTCTGGTTTTCGTTATCTGTTTGATGTCTAATTAATTGTTAATTTTAACTGCATGTTCAATGTTACATGTAGAAATTTAAGATTAGTCGAGCACGCTTATTACTATTAAACGTATTCCACAAAAGAATCTGATAACTTAATTTTCGTAACAGTGAATATGAGAACTCATTGCGTGTGTAAATGGTTTTTATTAAAACTAAGAAAATTACGCAGCTATCGCTTAACATTCTTTTTTCTACAAACATATCTTAATTACCTACATAAATTTATAATTAAAAAAGACCTTAAGAGTTAAATTATATTTAATTTTACATTTCTTGATCTTATCTAATTTATAATTATCTCATTAGTCATTACCTCATTTATAATTATGGATGCATCGTTTAATATATATGTAGAATACTGTTTTCAAGTTATTTCACCTACGCATGCTTACATTGTTTTGTATGCAAATACTTCTCTTATTTTTTATTTCTGCTATAATACGCGTTTTATGATGTTGGAGTCGTATAGAAGGATGATGTTTGTAAGTAACTAAATAAAAAAGAATTCCTGCATTTATTCTCCAAGAGGAAGTATTATAAATATTTATCAATTTCTCTTGAAAATTAATTGAAAATATTTAATACTTTTTTGTATTTGTCTCATACGCACGCGGTGGTATGTGAAATATAGAGCTTCAATATTACGTGACTATTGTATATCACTTAATTTTAGTAATTAAAAAAAAGTTCAAGAATTTTTTGATTTGTATATATTTATTCTCTACATATCTATTTGTGATTATTTAGTATTATCAGAAAGTAGTTCTTTTGTCATTAAATAATTTGTTTGATGCAACTAAAGATTTGTAATGAAAAATTATCATAAATTAATTCAATTAATTAATTAACTAAATTAAGTAAATATGGTAATCACAAAATATAATTTCAGCGTTATATAATATTATAAAATAATTATATAAAATATATAAATTGATTAAACTATAATTAATAGAAAATATGTAATCACTTTAAAGACATACAGGAAACTTTATATCTCTTAAAGCTAAACGATTCAAAATACTTTGCTAGTTATGCTTCACTGATTAATGAAGTTCCTGCACTTCGCGTGCAGTGTGTAATTTTTATTGATGTAATTGTCGAACAAAGATCAAATGAATTTTTTTATAAAAAATAATTTTTCTTGCAACAGGTTATGACCAGATACCAGTAGATTCCATGCAAGGGTTAGAGATAGGTGGTGGATCGACATATGGCGCAATGGACACTATGGACGTGGCGCATGATGGTGACTTAAGTTTCGATCACTTGGAAGAGCTTCCTGCACCGCCGCAAGATAACAACCAGGTCGCAGCCTGGTACGACACCGATCTCTGAATCCGTGCCATTTTTAAAAAATTCAAAAAGCAGGAGCATTATTTTAAAGTATTAAGCGAACTTTCATAGTAGAGTCTTAATTATCCGAGCACTCTGGTTGAATGTCCGCATTCTAGACTCAAGAGTCTCTCTATGAAAATTCGCTTAATACTTTAAAATAATGCTTCTGCTTTTTGCTATATCTGTTATTTTTTATTGTGCGTACCACGCTGGTGGAAAATAAAAATGAGAACCATCAAGAAAGATCGGGACAATTGGTTCTGACTCTTGTGGTGTTGAATAGCTTACCGCTCTGTGCGATTGACTCGCGATCGTGGGATTGAACCCGGATCTACAGATCGCGAGTCAATCGCACAGAGCGGTAAGCTATTCGACACCTCAAGAGTCAGAACCAATTGTTCCTGTTATCCCTCTTTTTTTTATCTTACTTTTTTAAATCATTTTCTTGTCGACTTATGATCGGCATTCAAACCGAGCGTCGATTGTTGTTGAATGAATGATGTGCCAAGTGATCACGCAATGCTTGGTATCCTGATTCATGATACAGATGACTGTTTTTGAATAGTGTACTTTAAGATTTATGAACGATCGTATCTTAATAATTAATTAAATGACGCTCGGGAAATCGGGACTCATGTTCGACATAAAATAATACCGATTGGTGGCTATCGTGTCTCGACCGTCTATCGGTCCGTGAGAAGTCACTCTCGAATATAAAAAATCGGTTAGTCACGCTATAGTTGACATCTTCCTATAGTCCACGTTCGTTTCGTCAGATGGAAAATGAAACATTCGCGCTAATCCATATCGACCCAAAAAAATATATCGCCTGTATGTAATCGCCTAATATGATCATTCACCCGAACATATAAACATTATATCGATGTATTAGAATTAAGGGAGACACATGTAATTCGTACACACATGTATATGTATCGTTTAATTGTCTATACAAATAAACAACAATTAAGCGACCAATGCTTTCCTTCTGGTTTTATAATATAAACCGAATTGTGCTAACTGTGGAAATATGATTATAATCAGTTTTGGTAGAAGTAATTACGGTACAATTATCTAAAGTGAATGGCAATTTTAGAAACCGCAATTATTGTTTTTTTTTTACTAGATTGAATTTAGGTAATAATTACGTAACTTCATATAATAATAAATTTTGTAATAAAACGTATAAATTTAAATAAATTATAACTAATTTAGATACAAGTAAAATTAATCTATTTTTCAAGGGAGCATCGAAATAGTTCGTAGATTGAAACGTCGATAAATGTTTTATAAATGACGAGATATTCGAATACAGTCATCGGTCATATACCGATATTGAGGATCGTTCACTTTGATGTTAATATGCTATAGAAAATAATTTCATCGAGACTTTCACTTGCCAGTCTCGGCGGGAGCGTTTACTGTGTCCCGAGATAAGACGTTACGCGACGTCGACACATACAATTTGTCGCAAGACCGTCTTCGTTTTCTTCTTTTCGTTTCTCTTCTCTTCTGGTCGGAGAAGGGTTCTACATACGGCACCATCGCTTGGGTCATCAATCGTTGGTCGACTCTCGCACGGCGTTATATACCACGGTCGCTTCGAAGACTCGTGTATATCCCGCGTTAACGGTTGTTTCTTAATGCGACGCAAGGAAAGGAGGCTTGTCCCTCGAGCCGTATTTCTTCGAGTACGGAAGGCGCGTTAAGAATCAGTCTGCTCATCGAAGCGGCCACTTCCGGACAGCTGTCGGCCGAGGGTAATTCTGTTCTCCGAGTGAAGACAACGTTTTGCATGATGAGACCAATCGACGTAAATTTTCTCGGATAGTGACTGACTTTTGTAAAAGTTTTAATTTTTGAAGAATAAGAACTGCGATTGGTGCGTGGAGGAAGGTGGTTCTATTGGATTCAGGAATTAAGTCTCCGTCTTGGTAAAGGTGAGTCTGTTATTTGTTATCGTGATATCTTTTATGTCCTCTTAGCCTCTTTCAACTGGTGTTTCCACATTCTTTGTCTCAGATTATTTTCGTGACTTAAAATAATCTCGGTAGAACTCAGCTTAAAATCTTCGATATTTTATAATGCGCGGTAATAATATTTAGAACTTCGAATAACGCGAACGTCAATTTTTTAACGAAAATTTTACCTTTTACCTTATAACGATCAATATACTTTTGAAATATTTTTGGGTGTCAAAGTTGAATACGATTACTGTGTATTACTAATTATATATTAGAAATATTAATTCTATAAGTAATAAATTACCCAATTATAGAACTTAATATGTATTACTAAGTCTATATAACAATTAATTCATATAATAATATTCTTGAGGCTTTCACAGGTGTCTCCTATATGACAATCTTGTGTTTCGCGGGTTTTCTCCGTGTTCAAATCCATTCTTGGAATGCC